GAAACGACGTACGTCAAGTCATTGAAACCCAGATGACGTAGTGTGGGTAATGACGTCAATGTGAAATACAATAGGGTATTATCGCAGTTAAAGACCGGTGTATTTAACGAGGTCAGTACAGTGTCACTTAGTGACAGTCATGCTGTAGGTCAGTAAGGCGCTAATCCACGAAGGTCTTCCTGAATCTCATGAAAGCTGTAGTTGATAGTTACAACGTACAAATGTACTGTGGTCGGGGCGAATCCCTGAGTCTGAAGGGGACCTTTAGATGTAAAAAGTGATGTGATCAGGAGAGTAGCAGATGAGGAACCATATCTCGCCCATATCATAAACATTAATTCCCTGTGGCGGTACTTTGGAGCTCCCTCTCAATTCTTACGTCGACAACGTCTTCGGTTGACACCGACCCTCCTGCGCTTTCGGAATGGCGTGTGCATCAAATTTTGCCAAAGACTTGCCAAAACGGCTACGGAAACCTATGAAATGCTAAAGCAAGCATTTGGGGAGTCCGCAAACTTTTGTGTGGCATTCACGTTTTAAAAATGGCTGAACCTCTGTCGATGATGACGAGCGTTCTGGACGACCATCTTCGAGCACAACGCCCGAAAATGTTATGAAGATTCGGCAGGCCCTTCACGAAGATCGACGTCGTACCATCAACGACTTGTGCGACATTTTTGGGATAGGCTATGGGACCTGTCAGCTGATTCTAAAGGAAGAACTCCACATGCGACGCAAGGCTCCTGTCTGAGGACCAGAAGCAGAATCGACTTCTCGTTTGTCAGGAGCTCCAAGATCTTGCAAGAACCGACCCCAACTTCCTTTTTAAGCTCCGTGTGACTTCTTCCTCTTTCCAAAGATGAAAATTCAGCTAAAGGTAAGGAGATTTGAGACGATAGAAGAGATTCAGGCAGAATCGCAGATGGTGCTTGACAGGCTGACAAAGAAAGATTTCCAGGGATGCTTCCAGGCTTGGCAGCGGCGCTGGGATCGTTGTGTTCACTCCCAGGGGAACTACTTCGAGGGTGATGGATGAATTTAATACCTGAAATAAGTGTACGGGTTTTTATAGGCGCAGTCTTTAAACTTTCCGATTGCACCTCGTATGTATATCTTTTGTCCTACCCACAAGCAAGTGACATAAGGAAAATGATCTTTTGTCCCAGGTACACAACAAACACAGAATATTCTTACATAGGGTGTCCTAAAAATACGTATACACAGCAGCAACTTTTGTGATTCTATGTGTCAGCTATGCCACGAAGCTACCGGTAGTCGTTTTGAACACCTACACTAAGTTCGCTAATTCACTAAATTCGAATGGTTCATTTTCGTGATTATGTATCGCTTTGTTTTGCCTACTGCCCTATTTTGTGACAAGGGTTGAAGTGTTCTGAAGATGGAGGCAGTATTTTTCTTCGAAACGTTGGTATCTATCTAAATGTCCATATGAAATACATTTGCACTGCAACTAATAAGACATCCTAGCATGCACATCAAATCACCCTATGTTTTTCACTTCGTATTAACGAGAAACCTTTTTTTACATCACTGAAAGAATTTGATTTATTCCATTTTAGCTCTGAGGAGTTGAGTTTCCAGTAATACCATTTTTTTCAAAGCTCATGATAGGAACGTTCTAGATGCATTAAAAGCAGGGGATTTCTTAACTCTATACGATTATCAGCTTGTCTAGAACTTTGCTTTCTGGAATTAATTTTGTTTACACTCTGCAGTATCAGAGCTGGTGTACACAATAATTGCGGTGGTATTTAACAATTCTTTTTAGTTCACAGTTGCATCAACCAAGCCATTGCAGCCTTTGGAATTAATTTAAGGACACGCCATAAGAATATCATATTTATGATAATATTAATGACCGTGTTATACATCAGCGATCTGTTGATTAGATACTGTTGACGTCTGGATAATCTTAAATACTAACAATTGGACAGACTGGGATGAAGTTGAATGGACAGATAGATAGGCAGACACATTTTTTAACCTGTTTCCTCACGCTACATTATGTAGAAATATGGATATTTGACTATCCCTTAATAATTTTAAACGGATTATTATGAAACTTGGCATGATCATCATGCTACTCAACTTTTGAACTTTTCCTGGTATCTAGCGGAACTTGTAGACAAGAAAGTCAGTTTATTCCATCTTCCTGTTGCAAATGTAAACTAGTAACTCAAGCGCCAAGTCCATTAAAAATAAACAGTCTTTCTAAACGCATTTTGAAGCCACTGTACTCACAATAAACCAACATTGGCCAGTAATAAAAAAAACATTCTGTCATAAACATTTGGGTTCAGGAACGAAAAACTACAGGAATATGTATCTGCGAATCGTAAACTGAAAGGTAATAGTGACTGCGTTTGTTGGTACTTTACACACTCTTCTTCTTCTTCAGTCACTGCTTCATGCTTACTGTTTATTCGACACGCCTAGAGTTCGATTCTGTCCTAGGGTACTTTTCTTCAGCTTGTTTGTCTCCTTGTATGCGTAAAGTACGATTTTAGGATAGTTCCCAGTGGCATACCATCCATACCAAATTTAATCTAAAATCGTTGAGGGTTTCTCGAGTTGAATCATGCGGACAGACAGATATGACCAGCCATCTTTGCTTCCCTTTTATGCACATCGTGCAAAGAACGCATAATAACGTTCCTTGTTGCAAAAATCAACTGTCTACTCAGGTTTTACGAGTGAAATGAGAACAAACAGTCGTAGTTTAGTGAAGTTCTACGAAACAGTCTCTGCCTCTGAGGTCATATGCAGATGTGAAACGTTCGGACAAGGAAAGCAGAAAAGTTTCGATGGCAGTGAACACACACACGTAAATGTTTGTTTCCTTTGTCACTAGGTGTCAATGTTGGAGAAAGATCCATTGTTTGACTAGACGAAGCAATTCAGGATCCAGTGTCGTTTCTTGCGTCACACATTTTGTTAAAAGATTTTACTCTGGTGGAAAGAGAAAAAAATGGCACGTAGGTGTAAAATGTTTTCGTTATTTGTTAGCAACTCTTCCTCGTTGCATAGAACGAGGAATGCATTACACATAGTGTCATCTGTCTTTTTCCCCAGTTGACAGATTTTTATTAAACTTGGTATGAACATCATGGCATTAGAGGAAAACCCAAGTTTATACTGTTTTTCTTCTATCATCAGTTAAACCAAAATAGTGGTCGTAAGAACTGTCCAGGTTTTAGAATCAGCGTCATTTAATGTGTGGTTCGGAAATATTGTGTGGTGATACATTCTAAAAATTTAATTGAAACTTGTTAATGTAAAAAAAAAAAAGCATGGTAGGCTCACGAAATATATATTTAACTTTCGATCTTATGACAATTACTAATGAACTAGACGTTGCGAAAAAAAAGCTCTATTCTGTATGTTATATCGGAAGTAGCAGTCCTTAAAATTTAATAAGCAATTCAAAACAATTAAATTTAAATTATCTCTTAATTATTCTCGTGAGATTTTCCACTGTCTTTTTTTCTATCAATCTCTATTTTATCTCAGAGAGAGCAGAGTGATAATGTTGATGTTGTTATGGGTTTTGGCGCCTTGTAGTCTCATCAGTTGATGCCAACGTTTCGGATAAACATACTGTCTCCTTCTTCAGCCCCCCAGCTTTAGCTCTGCATCTGTCCACATTAATTTTCATTTCACGTGTGAATTATATTGCAAGTCATTATTTTACTATTTAGATCTGGGCTAAGCACAGGATTGCTTGTAGGGATTACGTAACACGTAGGCATTCGTACTTATGGATGTGGTGCAATGTATACGTATTACAGCTGATGTTCTAAGAAGTGTAGGTTTCATTCATAGTATAAAATATTTATGTAACCTCGTTTCTCATTCTGTACATTGATGATGTTTTAGAACGATATTCTGGAGAGAATATTTAAATGTAAGAGAAACCATGAAGAAAATATCAGTATAAAGAGAAGAAACTTTGGAGACGTAGATCTAGATTGAACTGAATTTTAACCAAACCGGGAATGGTGTTTACTATAAGATTGAACTCGCTCGGAACAGGGTCTTACACTACATTATCAATGTTTTGTATGATTTTATAATCTCCTGAAATTTCTTAATAATTTTATTTTCGCTGCGAATTCTACCAATTTTACTAGACCAAGTTACACTTCCACAGAATTTGTATACAACTGACATTTTCATAAATTAGGCATATAACTTTATTTAGTTTCTACAATTTCCTCCTTACCTGTACACATGCCCTTCCTATAGATACATTTTTATGCGTTCTTTACACTAAATGCATAGCGAGAGCGCATTATGAACTGGCAGTGTCCGTCCGTCTATCCATTCAAATGTAGAACAACTGGATGGATTTGGATTAAATTTGATGTGGAGGTTGTGTCATTGTGCACGACCTCAAAATTGTACTTTTGAATGTCCTACAAGCGATCGGAAGTCGTGAGGTGGACACTGAGATGTTGCGATCTAGTGGTCAAAATGGAGAACTATCGAAAAAGGTGGACTTAATACCTCTAATTAATTGTTAACAAAGAATACATGAGGATATTATGTGTACTCCGGTACGAATTACACTTCCGAACTTGTTCTAAATAATATAAACAATAATAGCGTCTTTAATTTGCATAATTTCAGTACTGCTGATTCTAATTACGTTAATCTTATCATTATTTATTTAACGGAATTTAAAAAGCGGTATATTACTGCTACTAATGAAATAAAATTCCAATTAAAAAACCAGTGAAGGACAAGACTGCTTGGTTATTTGACGCCAGATGTCACTCGAGTCACGGATTTTATTTCCTATTTTAAAGAGATTGTTTCCTCTTTATTTTTGTATGGGCTATTCTCGCATGAAGGATTCTTATTCTGTACCCAAATTATTATTGGTCTGAACTTGATTTTGACTCGGAAGAAACCAGGGTTTTCTAATCTTTGAGGGACATGCGATAAACAAGTAAAGACTCACTTTTCCTGTGTTTCAGATGCTCCGAGCGATGGTGTGTACATTGTGTGTGGGGTGGTCATTGCAATGATCCTTGTGGCGGGAATCATCGTATTGCTGGCATTGTTTATAAGGTCAGTATGTCACTGCTGTTTTTAAAGACTGGTTTGTCTACAAATAAAAGTAGTTTTGTAAATAAGTGTCCAGGTATTCACAAACATAAAACAATTCCTTTTGTTAGACCACCCATAGGCTTGATAACCGGGGTAATAGGAGGCTATTGCTTCAGAAAGATTCTCATCACATGTGCCACCCAAGATTGGTGGTTTATTAGTGTGATTTACTTAATAAATTATATGAAAGATTAAGGAATTGTTGCATCTTGCGATTTTCAAATTCTTACTGCTGTGACCGTTTTCTAGGTTTATCAACGAATCTCGTCACGACCTCACGTCCTAGAAAAACAAACTGGAATATCTCCTTTTTGTCCTAATTTGAATATAAGAAGTTTTAGTAGTGTGTTACGGTTGAATAAGAGATTAACCACATCGTAATATGAGTTTTTAATCTCATTAATAACTGACTTCTTAATTTCTATACGCAGTACAAAAATCCAGCGTCAACGAGGTCTGTGAAAGTATCAGTTGAGTATGATCATAAATAATGTAATTCTGCAGTAAACCGCATTCATCACAACCTTTGAAACGAAAAGGGGAAAAGGATGAGATAGTTGCGCATGTACGCGGACCTCGGTCCGCGTACATGTAGGCAAAGAATGGCATACCATAGTTTACAGAGAGTTCAGTATATGACGCAGCCTTAAGTACAATCCACGAACTCTCTCACGCACAAAATAACGAATCTAACGGTAATACTGAAGTCTTGAACTCGGTAAGGCCGTAATTTCATCGGTTATTGCTTTTTCTCGATGAGCTTCCTCTGCCCCGAAATGTCGCTGTCTTATTCGGAACTACCTTGTCAGGACACGCTTTGCTAAATGGTTCACGAACAGAAGCGAACGATTTCGATGTGAAATTATGTTCGAGAATGAACACGCGTTCTGATAGTGAATTCGCCCCGTTCGCACGTGCACAGATTTTGCACAAGTGAAGTGAGTAGCGACCTAGCAACATGGATGACCTTGACACTGATGTTGAGCGTCACGGGAGAGGTTGGGGGAGTCTATTGCACACCTTGAGAATTGCCATATCTGAGGCGTTCGTGGTTTTCCTCAGGCTGTCAGCAACAGCCCTTCCACTCCCCATACTCAGTACACTTTACTGTTGCTGGGTTTCTGGACTTGTCATTTGTCTGACATTGTGAAAATAATAAAAGACGGGGATTGAAAAAATGTGTCATTTCAGGATGACTAATTATGCTGTGTGCGCACATTGTTAATATGATATTGTTATTGGTTATGATTATTATATTTATATATAGTGGCGCAGTATGAATATACATAATCGAGGTTAGCTTTGTGCTTTGTTGATTTTTGTAGCTTCATTTGTTCGTCACAAAACAAATGCTTTGACACATGACAAACTTTGCATTATTTAAATTTCGCTATCGTTTCTTATCGTCATAACAGAACAAGAGAAATGACAGATATGACTCTAAAATTAGGTGTATAAATTTAGGAAAATCTCGATATTGTCCAGATAAGAACTGCAATTGTCTCATGTAGCCTTTTTTTCCATGATGCAAAAGTGACATGTCAGACAATTAGTTTCTATTCCTTATGTGATATAAGGTTCCTAAGAATGCTGTAAATTTAAAATATTTCAAAACTAATATCAAAGGAAATGGTTAAAATGTAACTCTTGCAGGTTACATTGGCTTTGTTTCATTCGTCATGCATTAATCCTTTGATATAAAGATCATCTAAATAATTTTAAAGAATTCAGCCCCTATCGAAAACGAGATCCAAAAATATATTACTTACCGGTATACACACTTTATTAGTGATTAAGAAAATCCGGTGCCAAGGAGTTAGTTATTTAGAAAAAATTTTGGTTACGTTTTACTTATTTTTTAAAATTCTAAACTTTACATTTCTTTCCTCGGTTAAAATTTACTGCACATTAAAGTTTACGAGTTGTTCTATTATAGTATATGAACATAAAATAGACTCGGATAGCTTTCTAATAAAAGACGCTGTTTTATTTTGTGTATACATTGGATAGTTTTACGGCGCCTTAGCACAGAAAGACCACAGCCAACATCTAAAACTCCGCGAGAATTTCACATCTCAAGAAAGATCCAAGTTATAAGTTACATGCCAGAAATTCTTGTCAATGACAGAGCGTTTGTAGATTTCTCGTTCCATGGGTGTCATTTAACTTAAAATAGCTGCCATATTAAATAAGCAACTAATTGCTTGGCAACTTCATGGTGTATAAATGGTCTTCTTTGGCCAGTTGTCAGTTCTATATGTAGTTGCAGGATCTTTCCCGGCAAGGATAAAGCGGTCGGAGCGTTAAACTGTTATTTTCATCCGCTGCCGAAGTCTAAATGCGTGGGTTTTTACCTCCATTTCCCTATACGTCTTAATGGTATGGGACAAAGGCTGAAAGACAATATAATTTTGTCTTTCGACTCAACACTTTTCATGATATTTTGTATCCGAAATGTTACAACTTTCCCCAAAATAGTGGAAAAGTTTACTATAATAGAGGACAGACATTATATATATTTTCGTGCCTCATTGATGCTTATTTTAATCGGTTATAGATGAAAACGCATTGCTCTACAAATCACATTACATGGCCTAAAATTGTTTTATTTCTATTTTTTGTTCCCTTAAACAGCGCAATAAAAGTGATCCCAGAAAATTTAATTAGATGTACATTTTGTATTTTTTACCTGCCATCTTGTTTATGATGAAACGTATTAGAAGGACCAATAAATTTCGTATAGTGACAATGTTGTATCCACAAGAACTATAATTAAATCAGCCAGACAACTCAATTTTCGGTGTATACCTCCGGTACTAAATTTGATGTAAATCCAGTGCGCAGTTGCTGAGATAAAACACTCAGGACAAAATGAGGAACACGGCTTTACCCTGTGTTCGTCCACTTCGTGTGCTTTGTGCTAAGAAGGTGTACGAATACACAAATGTTATGATTTCAGTGCTAAAATGTTACTTTAAAAATTGTAGCTGACTGTTTCATGTCTGAGGTTTCAGTGTTGGCTATCATTAATGATATTTGTCATGGTTTTTCAAAGTTCTTCCAGGCAATTGCTGGTATAGTTAAGAGACCACCTCTACCGCAATCCATACCCCTTCAATTAACGATGAACCACAATCTGTTGGTTTGGGCAGTTAAAAAAGCGTTGTGAAATAATTTAGGTGCCATTCTAATGTCGACCTCGTCTCAAAGATGCTGATCCATAAATCATGATTTTGTGGCCTTGTTAATATACTTATGAATGAATGATATTTTTTGTCAATAAATTTTCGATGATTCTCAATGATCGATTATGATAATAATTTTAGACAATTCAGCAATGATATGACGAAGAAGATAAAGTATATCAGTTTCCTATTGTAAGTCAGACATGGGACTCGGCGGTATTACGTCTCACATTTTTTTAACAGATTCACCTTGGTTCTGTCGGTATAAAAACACTAAACTTTAGTTTTTAGCAACGCGCAGTGAATTTACATTGTATGTGCTAATGAAAGTTAGGCCTAGTTAAGCATCAACTACAGTTAGTCATGTATAATTTCATATGACGTTAAGAATTTGATCCATCACAGTCATATTCGTAATACACGTCAACTAAGGTTGATGGCAGTGTGGAACAAAGGTTTTTTGGTCTTACGTAATGTGCATCGCCAGTTGTAAGCAGTACAATATCCCTGTTTTCTGCTTCTTCTGTGCCCTAATGCCTATTTAAATCAAAACCAAAAAATCACACGTGTCAGCTGAGGGGGATCATTTCAAAAAAATACAGGCTCGTTTTTAGTTGAAGTATGCACAATACTAGCCGTTACGAGTGATAGAATCAAAAATTGTGGATGGAATGGTTAGCATTCTTGCTATTTATTCAGGTCGGGGCTTCAAATATTTACCTGGATATTTTTATAGGGGCTTTTGTGGGTTCGCTCCACGAGCTAGATCACTACATGTCCTTTCAGATCCTTTCCAATTCACAACAATCCTGCAGTTCGACATAAGGTAACTGATTCATTATAATTTTTCCTCAGTTGCCAATTATCTCATTGTCTCAGGCATAATTCACACATTTCTCATAGAGAAACGTTGCGAAATGGATAATTAGAACTGATCGTACTATACTCGCTGAAAACATCGGCCAGAAACAAAGCATAGTTGTTCTCAGGCTTACGTGTAGTTACTAGAAACATTTATTGTAATTGAATTCTAACACCAGATTAGATTATTTGAAGAAAGATATTTTAATGTTAACTTAATTGTGTGTATTCTTTCTTTCCTTTATATCAGCTTTATCTGAGGAACATAACAGTGACGAGAATGATGAGTAGAATTCTTTTTTGTGTACTTGTTAACAGTATTCTTTTCATACTCGTTTCATATGCCAAGATAACTACTGCATTCAAAGTAATGTTTCATTTTGACATCTGTCGTATCCAGTAAACGTTTGACAGGTCTTAAGGTTAAAATTCAAAATATTAACAGATGATAACAGAAATAAAATATTGACGTTGGCTATTGTCAGACGTGACCAAAGTTCAAACCCTTTTATTAATACATTCAACGAGAGTTGAAAAGTGTTCTTCGTTTTGGAATTTACAAATTCAGAATGTATTTTATGTGATTTGACATATATGTAGAGTCTCCACTTCATTTACTGTAAATACAGATGCGTTGTCATGAACTATAGAAATATTAAAATTTACAGGACGTAAGGGGAAGTATTCATACAAAATTTTGATAGGGATCTCGAGGAGACTGAAGGGTAGAATTCAGAGTAAACTGAAATGGATTTTAGATTAATAGGGGTTAAGTGCGTAACTACAACTTCAGATCTAAAGATCTGTATGTTTTATATGGTGCCAGTTATTTATAATGAAAATTGTATATTTATATTTCAGCTCCCTGTAAAAAATATCTTATAATGGACCAATATGACCAAAACTGAATTATGT